TTACCTCAGAATGGATTGGGCCTGAAGTGTGTCTGAACTGTGCCACTAGGGCTTGTGCTGGGCCATTTTTCCTTTTTTTGGGTGGCAGAGCCATTCCTTGGGGTTGAAATGTGGTAAAAATACTAGGAAAGAGAAAATAACTCTTGTGTTGTAGGATTTTTACCTCAGAATGGATGAGGCCTGAGATGTCTCTGCACTGAGCCACTTGTGCTCGTGCTGGGCCTTTTTTCCAAGGGTTTTCAGTGGTAGAGCCATTCCTTGGAGTTAAAACTTGGTAAAAATACTGAGAAAGAAAAATAAAAAGAGAAGGAAACGGGTGTGGTTTGGGGGTTTTTATCTCAGAATGGATTAGGCCTGAAGTATGTCGGAACTGAGCTACTTGTGCTTGTGCTGGGCCATTTTTCCTTTTTTTGGGTGGCAGAGCCATTCCTTGGGGTTGAAATGTGGTAAAAATACTGAGAAAGAGAAAATAACTCTTGTGTTGTAGGATTTTTACCTCAGAATGGATGAGGCCTGAGGTGTCTCTGCACTGAGCCACTTGTGCTCGTGCTGGGCCTTTTTTCCAAGGGTTTTCAGTGGTAGAGCCATTCCTTGGAGTTAAAACTTGGTAAAAATACTGAGAAAAAAAATAAATAGAGAAGGAAACGGGTGTGGTTTGGGGTTTTTACCTCAGAGTGGATTCGGCCTGAAGTGTGTCTGAACTGTGCCAGTTGTGCTGTGCCTTTTCTTCTTCTTAAAATCTTTCTTAAGGGATTTTGGGTGGCAGAGCCATTCCTTGGGGTTGAAATGTGATAAAAATACTGAGAAAGAGAAAATAATTTGTGTGTTGTAGGATTTTTACCTCAGAATGGATGAGGCCTGAAGTGTATGTGAACTGAGCCACTTGTGCTCATGCTGGGCCTTTTTTGCAAGGGTTTTCAGTGGTAGAGCCATTCCTGGGGGTTAAAACTTGGTAAAGACGTTAAAAAAGAGAGTAAACAGGTGGGTTTTAGGTTTTTTTTACCTCAGAACGAATTGGGCCTGAAGTGTGTCTGAACTGAGCCACTTGTGCTCGTGCTGGGCATTTTCCCAAGGGTTTTCAGTGGTAGAGCCATTCCTGGGGGTTAAAACTTGGTAAAACTACTGAGAAAAAAAATAAATAGAGAAGGAAATTGGTGTGGTTTGGGGTTTTTACCTCAGAATGGATGAGGCCTGAAGTGTGTCTGAACTGTGCCACTAGGGCTTGTTCTGGGCCTTTTCTTCTTAAGAAAATCTTTCTTACAGGATTTTGGGTGGCAGAGCCATTCCTTGGGGTTGAAATGTAGTAAAAATACTGAGAAAGGGAAAATAACTCGTGTGTTGTAGGATTTTTACCTCAGAATGGATGAGGCCTGAACTGTCTGTGAACTGAGCCAATTGTGCCCATACTGGGCCTTTTTTCCAAGGGTTTTCAGTGGTAGAGCCATTCCTGGGGGTTAAAACTTGGTAAAAATACTGAGAAAGAAAAATAAAAAGAGAAGGAAACGGGTGTGGTTTGAGGTTTTTACCTCAGAATGGATTAGGCCTGAAGTGTGTCTGAACTGAGCTACTTGTGCTTGTGCTGGGCCTTTTCTTCTTAAGAAAATCTTTGTTAAGGGATTTTGGGTGGCAGAGCCATTCCTTGGGGTTGAAATGTGGTAAAAATACTGAGAAAGAGAAAATAATTTGTGTGTTGTAGGATTTTTACCTCAGAATGGATGAGGCCTGAGGTGTCTCTGAACTGAGCCACTTGTGCTCATGCTGGGCCTTTTCTTTTTGGGTGGGATTTTGGATGGTAGATCCATTCCTTGGGGGTTAAAATGTGGTAAAAATCCTGAAAAAGAGAAAATAACTGGAGTGGTTTAGTTTTTTTACCTCAGAATGGAGGAGGCCTGAAGTGTCTCTGAACTGAGTCACTTCTGCTCATGGTGGGCCTTTTTTCCAAGGGGTTTTGGGGTGGCAGAGCCATTCCTTGGAGTTAAAATGTGGTAAAAACACTGAGGAAGAGAAGAAAACTGGTGTGTTTTAAGGTTTTTACCTCAGAAAGAATCCCATTTTATGTTTTAAACCAAGTGACACAGCAACTGAGAAGGAGAAGGAAATGGTGGTGTTTGATGTGTTAAAATGCGATAAAAACATTGTGAAAGAATGAAACAGATGTGTTTTAGGTTTTTTACCTCAGAATGCACCGGGCCTGAAGTATCTTTTAACTGAGCCACTTGTGCTCATTCTCTGCCTTTTCTTCTTGGGAGGGATTTTTGGTAGCAGAGCCATTCCATGGGAGTTAAAATGTGATAAAAACATTGAGAAAGAGAAAATAAACTGGTGTGTTGTGGGGTTTTTACCTCAGAATGGGTTAGGCCTGATGGGTCTCAGAATGGGTCAGGCCTGAAGTGTCTCTGAATGGAGCCTCTTCTGCTCATGTTGGGCCTTTTTTCTGTGGGTTTTTGGCTGGCAGAGCCATTCCTTGGAGTTAAAATGTGGTAAAAATGCTGAGAAATAGTAGAAAACTGGTGTGTTTTAAGGTTTTTACCTCAGAAAGAATCCCATTTTGTGTTTTAAACCAAGTGACACAGCAGGAGGGAGCAGAATTATCTGTTGGTGGCATCTCGTGAAGGAAAAAAAGTTGTTCTCCCTTAATCTTTTAGCAGGCATAGATACTGTTATCTTATCAGAAGTGGAAAATGGTGTTTTAGTCAATAAATGGTTGTATTTTTAGTAACTTTTTTCAGGAGTTGAAAGCTTGAACCTTGGCTGCTAAGAAACCAAACTGCTCTGTCGTAGTCCTGGTGCTGGTGATAAAGCAAGCACTGAAATGTTGTAATAAAAATGTTGTAATAAAAAGGGAGCAGCATAAAGTCAAATAATTGGCATTTGAGCTTTCAGAAACGCCTGCTCTGGGCAATCATCAAACCTGCAGCTTTTGAAACATGTCAGCTGAGTAAGAAGCCACCTGCTTTGTCAGAATATTCCCTGATTCTGGGTTTATTCACGGGGAATTGTGGCTGCTGAATGAATTCTTGCTGGCTGTGTTTCACAGGCTGCCCTGTGATAAAGCAGGGCTGGTAAAGATCAAGATCAAGGAGGTGATTTAAGTAATGGGTGAGGATGTGTTGTAGGAGATCCTCGTGGGTTATGGTGACAGTTTTCCCTTCAGAAACCTGCGGGGTCATTTTGGGGCTTCATTCTACATTTAAGGATGTCACTGAGCAGGGACACCCAGGCCCGTGCTGCTGCTGCTCAAGGGCACCAAAAAGGGTTTCTTTTTGACATGTTAAATCTGTTTGAGGTGCTGGATCTTCCCAATCTTTGCTCTTCCCCAAGACCAGGAACTTTCCTGACCCAGGATCATTTGGTCACTGATTAAAATTCTTGATTTTTCTCACCCACCCCTCCAAACATTCCAGTCTTCCCAGAGGGCTCTGAGGGTCTTTTCTAGGGACATTTCTGTCCTCCAAGGACATGGAGGGGCTGCAGCATGTCCAGGGAAGGGTTTGGAGCCCCAGGAGCAGCTGAGGGAGCTGGGAAAGGGGCTCAGCCTGGAGAAAAGGGAATTTTCCTCTCTGGAATTCCCTGACAGGAGAGGACAGCCAGGTGGGATCAGGATTTCTCCCAGGGAACAGGGAGAGGATGAGAGGAAATGGGTTCAGGTTGGATGTTGGGAACAATTCCTGCCTGGAAAGCTGCCCAGGGCAGGGGTGGAGGGATTTAAAATCCCTGTGCATGTGGCACTTGGGGACACGGATGGCCTTGGCCGTGCCAAGGGGTGGTTGGACTCCATGATCCTGGAGGTCTTTTCAAACTGAAATAATTGAGTTTGCAAATGTTGGCAGGTTTGTTTTGGTTTTGGTTTCTTTTTGGGATAGGCCAAGGGAGGATGAGCAGCTTTTCCTGCCCAGCTGTGACCACTCACCTGCTGGATTTGGGTTTGGAGCACCACTTTTTGTGGGACTTGGAATCCAGCCCATTACCAACAGCAGTAATATGAACTCCCCCATTATTTATTCCATCTTTGCCTTCAGGAATCCCAAAATCCTGGAATGGTTTGGGCAGGAAGAGGCCTTAAAGCCCACCCTGTTCCACCCCGTGCCGTGGCCAGGGACACCTTCCACTGCGCCAGGGGGAATCCCAGCTTGGCCTGGGACACTTCCAGGGCTGGAGTGTGCTGGAATGTCCTGCAGGCAATCTTGTGGGGTGGCTGAGTTGGTTTGGATCCTTCTTTCCGATTTTATGGGGTGGCTGTGTTGGTGTAGATCCTTCTTTCCAGTTTTATGGGTGGATAGATTGGTTTAGATCCTTCTTTACAATCTTTTGGGGTGGCTGAGTCGGTTTAGAGCCTTCTTTCCAATCTTTTGGAGTGGGTGAGTTGGTTTAGAGCCTTCTTTCTTGTTTTTCAGGGTGGATGGGTTGGTTTAGATCCTTCCTTCCAATTTTTTGGGATGGTTGAGTTGGTTTAGATCCTCTTTCCAATGTTTTGGGGTGGCTGAGTTGGTTTAGATCCTTCTTTCCATTTTTTAGGGTAGCTGAGTTGGTTTAGATCCTTCTTTCCAATTTTATGGTGTGGCTGAGTTGGTTTAGAGCCTTCTTTCGTGTTTTTCAGGGTGGATGTGTTGGTTTAGATCCTCCTTTGCAATTTTTTGAGGTGGCTGAGTTGGTTTAGATCCTCTTTCCAATGTTTTGGGGTGGCTGAGTTGGTTTAGATCCTTCTTTCCAATTTTATGGGGTGGATACATTGGTTTAGATCCTTCTTTCCAATTTTATGGGGTGGATAAATTGGTTTAGATCCTTCTTTGCAATTTTATGGGGTGGTTGAGTTGGTTTAGATCCTTCTTTCAATTTTATGGTGTCTGTGATTTGACTTGGATCCTTTTTTCCCAAACATTTTCCGGTGATCGCTTCTCTTCTGCCTTTGAGCCTCTTCTTGCACCTTCTGCTCCTTCCTGCACCTCTTCCTGCTATTTTTTTTTTTGCCTTTTTCTGTTTTCTGCTTCTCCAAAAACCAGCAGAGCAGAGAGGAAGGTTGAAGGTGTGACATTCTCGGTGTGAGCCCACCTGTGCTGCTCCTCCGGCCATCCCCATCCCCGCTGGCCATTTGGGATTTGGGATTTGGGAAGCTGTGAGTAATTGAGTCTTTGATCTTCAGCTTTTGTCTGAGAGCAGAGTTCAATGGAGAGGCTTTGTTAGCAGAGCTGTTGCTGTTTTTTTTCTCTGAGGGAGAAAATGTTGGAGACCCGGCTCTGCTGGAGGAGTAGCTGCCTTGTAGGTGTAAATAAATGAGTTTATTTAAGAGGCCAGCTCTGATTTAAAGGTTTGTTTAATGCAGCAGCGTTCTCTGCAAATTCACTCAAAAGATTGGCCAGTGATTAAAATTAATTATCTCACCTTTATTTCTCCCTGTTTCAGACAGCGCTGTAATCACTGACTTCACAAAATCTGTCTGCACAAATCTTTCCGAGGCTTCTGTGGATCTTAATTTGCATGACTCGGCAGCTGCCTCGTTTGCATAATGAACCTCTGTGGTCAGCCTATTACTGAAATTGCCCCTCTCTCCTCTCGTGCTGTTCTCTTGTCTCCGTTCCCGATTGTCCCTGGGACGGTGCGGGGGATCCTCGGTGCTGCAAACACCAAATTGTTCTGTGTTCCAGGGAGGGAGGAGAAATATTCCAGGGGTTTGTTGGTGCTCGAGGAGGTGAAATTCATCTCCTGTGGAGCCAGGCTGGGAATGCTCACATGGAGAAGGATGCAGGGAATCCTTGGAGCCCATTCCTGAGCCTTGAGGTGGGAGAGCTGGGAATGCTCACATGGAGAAGGATGCAGGGAATCCTCCATTCCTGAGCCTAAAGGGGATCCAGGAGAGCTGGGATTTGGGAAAGGGATGGAGGGCCAGGACCCAGGGAATGGATCCCACTGGAAAAGAGGAGATTGGGGAAGGAATTCCTGGCCAGAAAATCCCTGGATCCCTGGCAGTCTCCAAGGAAAGGCTGGAGCAGCCTGGGACAGCAGGAAGCGCCAGGATTGGGATGGGATGGGATTGAAGGGCCCTTCCCACCCAAGGCAGGCTGGAATTCCAGGATTCCATGGGATGGGAAGGCAGCAGAGCAGCTGGAACCCCAGGATGCAGGAATTGCTTTTCCTGAAGTTTGGGATAGCGGAAAAATTCCATGTCCACGGAAGGGGCTGGAAAGGGAGGACCCTGAAGGAGGGGAGGGGAGGATTCCCACCCCAAATCCTTCCCTTCCTGACCTTTTCCCAGCACAGGGATGAAGCGGGATTTGCACAGGGAGAAACTTCTCTCCAAATTTTGGGAGAAATCCCAACATGGCTGGGAAAGGGGAGCTTGGGAATTCCCAGAGAATCTCTAGGAGCATCCAAGGAAAGGTTGGAGCACTCCGGGATCGTGGGGGGTGTTTGGGTTGGAATGGGATGGGATTTGAGATCCATGAATCCCGCCCGGAGCATTCCAGGATTCTGGAATTCCACGGTCACGGGTGGGGCTCTGAGCTCAGGTCCATCAAATCCCTCAGGTTTTTCTCTGTCTAATTAGTAAAGTTCAATTAGTAAACTTCACCAAGTCTTGAGCTTCTCTGTCTGGCTGTCCTTCCCAGATATTCCTGCAATTCCCTCTCCCATCCCCAGGGGATTCCTCTTGTTTTTAAGGATCCCGTGCTGGCAAATCCATCGTGCCCACCATAAATCCCCTGGATCCTGCTCCTGGGCTCCCAGGGATGGGCAGGAACCCGAAATATCCCAAAAATCCTGCAGGGATCTGCCCCGGAGCAGATGTCAGACTCCAGCACCATTCCACGGATTTCCAAAGTGGAAAATGACTGTCCCCGACCCCGGTGGGTTCCAGTGGGATTCTGCTCTTTGTGCCCCTGGGCTCGTGTTTAAAATCGAGTTCAAATCCTCATTTCTCAGGGCTGGCAGCAGCCATCCATCCATCCATCCATCCATCCATCCATCATCCCATCCATCCATCCATTTTGGGGTTAATTCCTGGGCAGGAGGCAAGGAACCCCTTGGGTGGGAATCCCTGGTTCCTCAGAGGCAGCAGGAGCTGAAGTTTGGGAGATTCCTGGCGGGAATTCTGCTGGATTGTTGGCAGAAGGATGGAAAGGATCAAGGGGGGAACGGATTCCCACTGGAAAAGGGGAGATTTGGGTGGGATCTTGGGAAGGAATTCCCAGAGAATCCCTGGCAGTGTCCCAGGAAAGGCTGGAAAATCCCAGAATTGTGGGGTGGGAACGGGATGGGATTGAAGCTCCCTGGATCCCATCCCAAACCTTCCCGGATTTTGGGATCCAGGACACTCAGGATCCATCCCCAGGGATTTTTTTGGGATTCAGGGATGGAAAAGGGAAGGGAGACCCTTCCTGGAGTCCCGAACTCCCAAGGAATTCCCAAAATTCCTTCCTGGAGAGGAGCTGGGATGGAGATGGATGCAATGCCGAGCTGGGAATGGAGGGAATTCCCTGGGAAAGGGGGGAAAATTTGGGACAAAATTCGTGGGGTATCCCGGTGATCCCAAAAAAACCCCAAATTCCCTCAAAAAAGCTCCAAATTCCAAAAAACCTCCAGAAAAACAGGAACAAATTCCTGCCTGAGAGGCTGGGGAGGCCCTGGAATGGAATTCCCAGGGAATTTTTGGCCGCCCCATCCCTGGGAGCCACCTGGGATGGTGAAAGATGCCAAAAATGATCTTTAAATTCCCTTCCCACCCAAACCATCCTGGAATTTTGGGATTCAGAAGCTTTTCCCACTGATGAAGGTGTTATTCCAGTTTTCCTGTTGTTTTTTTTTAACCTCTGCTGAGTGGAAAAATCCCTGAGTGTGCTTTTAACTGCGAGATCCTCAGAATTTGGTTAAAAAACACCCAAAATGTGTAAATCCACATTTTGGAGGTGCCCCTGCCCAGTGTTCCCTCCCCCAGCACTGGGAAATGTGGAATTAAATTTAAACCAAATGCATCCATCATCCATCCATCCATCCATCCATCCATCCATCATCCATCCATCATCCATCATCCATCCATCCATCCATCCATCCATCCATCCATCCATCCATCCATCATCCATCCATCCATCCATCCATCCATCCATCCATCCATCCATCATCCATCCATCATCCATCATCCATCCATCCATCCATCCACAAAATAAATCCATAAATCCACATTTTGGAGGTGCCCCTGCCCAGTGTTCCCTCCCCCAGCACGGGAAATGTGGAATCAAATCCAAACCAAATGTGGAATTAAATCCAAACCAACGTCAGATTGATTTTTTCCCTTTTTTAATAAAATCTCCGATGTAATTTCGTTGTACAAAGCAGCTTTGTGCTGGGTGATGAAACCCAGCTCAGCTTTGTGGCTCTGGGTGATAATTCCCTGCAGAAAAGGCAGCTTATGGAACCTGTCCACCTCTGAGATTTCGTGGCTTCTGCACCAATAAAATCTGAATTAAATAGATTTTGAAATAGATTTTCCTTTTGCAAAGAGGAGGAAATGTTGAATATCCAAATGAACCTTTTGAATTCAAGAGCGGAGTAAAAACACCCCAAAAAAAAAATCAAATTTATTTTTCTTTCTTCTAGCAACGACATTGATTTAATTATTTTTATCTCCTTCTGTATTTTTGGTGTTAATAGGAGCAGGTACCCTTTATCCCAAGTTATCTAAAGACTTATTTTTTATTTTTTTGCCCTTTTTCGCTCCAATTTTTCTGTTTCTCTGTTAATTTTTGCAGCTCACGTCTGGCAGGGTGGGTGTTTGGGAGTCTGCTGTTAATGAATCACACTTTGGCACTGACACTGTGAGAAACAATTGGGCTGTCAGATCAGTGAGCCACAAACTTGCAAATATTTCACGTTTTTTTTTATTGTTATTTTTTTTAAACTCTTCTTTTGACAGCTTGTCCCCCAAAAATCTCTGTATTTTTATCCATCTGAGCAGTTGGAAGGGAATTCATATTTTTTAATGAGTGTGAACCCACTTGGGGATTTTTTTTTGCTGTTTTTTTAAAGTTTGAAGGATTTTTTGATAGATTTTAATTTATTTTTTTTTTCTGGTGCTGCTCTGAGAGCTTTATTCCCATTCAGAAATTTCCAGCAGCCTGATGAGGAATTTTTCCAGACTCCCAATTTTTTTTTCCCCTCTCTCAGAGGTCAGTGATTTCCCATTTGTCAGCAGGAGTGGGGTTTTTTTACCAGCTCGATTAATTGGTCTTCGTTAGACCTCCAGTGATAAAGGGCACAAAAGGGGAAAAAAATCCAGAAAAAATTTGGTTTTCTCAGATTCCTTCAGTGGGGTTGGGAGGTGCTCGGTGCCAAAGGGATTTGTGGGGTTTTTCATGGGTAAAAAATGAAAAATGGGATTTTTCATGGGTAAAATGTGGGGTTTTTCATGGATAAAGTGAAAAATGTGGGGTTTTTCATGGATAAAATGAAAAATGTGGGGTTTTTCATGGATAAAGTGAAAAATGTGGGGTTTTTCATGGGTAAAAAATGAAAAATGGGATTTTTCATGGATAAAACTAAAAATGTGGGGTTTTTAATGGGTAAAATGAAAAATGTGGGGTTTTTCATGGATAAAAAGGAGGTGCTCGGTGCCAAAGGGATTTGTGGGGTTTTTCATGGGTAAAATGAAAACTGTGGGGTTTTTCATGGATGAAATGAAAAATGGGGGATTTTTCATGGATAAAATGAAAAATGTGGGGTTTTTGATGGATAAAAAATTAAAAACGTGGAATTTTTCATGGATAAAAATAAAAATGTGGGATTTTTCATGGATAAAATGGAAAATGTGGGGTTTTTCATGGGTAAAATGAAAAATGTGGGGTTTTTCATGGATAAAATGAAAAATGTGGGGTTTTTCAGGGATAAAATGAAAAATGGGGGATTTTTCATGGATAAAAAATGAAAAACGTGGAATTTTTCATGGGTAAAAATAAAAATGTGGGATTTTTAATGGATAAAATGGAAAATGTGGGGTTTTTCATGGATAAAATGAAAACTGTTGGATTTTTCATGGATAAAATGAAAAATGTGGGGTTTTTCATGGGTAAAACGAAAAATGGGATTTTTCATGGCTAAAACTAAAAATGTGGGGTTTTTTCATGGGTAAAATGAAAAATGTGGGGTTTTTCATGGATAAAAAATGAAAAATGGGATTTTCCATGGATAAAATGAAAACTGTGGGGTTTTCCATGGATGAAATGAAAACTGTGGGATTTTTCATGGATAAAATGATCCGTGGATCCCCTCCAGGCTGCCACGGTTCTTGGTGACCCCAAACACCCCCCAGACTGCATTAA